ACTTAGTTTTTGCATAAATTTACTCATTTTTGTGGAAGAACGCTCATTTATGTACATTCTTAGCCATCTTCGTTAGAATTGGAATATACAGACTGACAGTGAAATTTTGTGCGTTAGAAGTTGGTTAGAAGGGTGGCTGCACTTTTGGGTCCTAAGCCCTCCATGAAGCGATCTGTCCATACTCTCGCTATACAGGTACTCTATGCAATGGGAGCACTGCTCCTAAATGTTTCAAAGTATGTCCTCACGATAGGGATAAGGAAACCTCTCGGTCCATTCTAAGCTGAATCGGACGCGGAAACTTAAACGTATGTCGTAACACTCATTACTGCAATAATTAAGGGAAGGAGGGAGGGCGGAGCTTGGAAGCTCGTTCCCGAAGACGCGACGCGACGATCCTGTGTGTGATAACACCTGCTTACCGTAATTTTCATGCACTAAACGGGTTCACTCAATAGCAGTTTGGAATCCATTGCTGCCAACTATACGAACTCCGTTGTCGGTTACAACTCATTGCCTTGCCCGGAAAGGCAACCCTGTTGAAATTATTATATTTTGCTCCCTTCCTTCGAAGAGTAATCGCGCAATTAATAGGTATACCCGTTGCCACGGTTGTCGATAAAAATATATTCGGATCTCCGGGAATTTCCTAGGCGCCACTTGCATTGGATGGTCGGTCGGTAGAAATAGGTAATTTAACAAATCGCTAACGCTCAATTGGTTCGAAGGAGCATCGAGGGGCTGGTATACTGCCGTGCTAAGGAAAAACGCCGTATGAACCTCCAGGCGTTACCGAATTTCTCTTGATAAAACGTAAATTTCTTGGTAAATTTATGAATATTTTTCTCCCATTTTTTCTCCCATTTTTTCAGAAAATTTAGTTCGCAATTTTACCTAAAGACTCTGAAAAGATAAAGGAAACATATTCATAACTTTCCTAAAAAATAAACATTTTATCGAAGGAAATTTGGCAACTCTCGAATGCTCATACGACGTTATAGTACGGCAGTATAGTTGATATTTCTACTGGTGTTTCAGATGTTTTCAATCAAGTTACGTCGGTTCGTAAAGCAGCAGAGAGGGTGCTCGGCCGTGACTAAGATCAACGACCGACTTACGATGTTAGAGAATATCTGCTAATAAACGCGTTTAAAAACGAGTTTCGACGAAAGTCAAATCTGTCAGTTAAAAATGAACCTAAATGATCTAAAAATATAATTTTAGAGCGTGGTTTCACAAAAATGTCGTGTGCCATTCGACTTTGCGTTCGTAAACTTGTCAAGAAATACTGGAAAGAAGAGAGAGAAAAATGTCTCATCGCAAAGTACACTGATGTTAATGGAGATGTTGCATCTGTGAGAAATTTGCGATTTGACAATTGATTCTTGTGTAAAAGTTCGCGAGAAACACGATGGTGCTACTGGTTTTCCCTGAAATCAAATCCCAAGCTCAAAAAAAGTTCCCAAACTGAGGCCAAAATGGAGGGTACATCCCACGCTATCCCACCTCTACATCAAGACGAACTCTCCATGCAAAGATAGGGAGCAAATACATTGACAGGGCTGCCACTTTATTTGGAGACTCTAAAACTGAAAACACGGCATCACTGCTAAGGTATTTGCTCTCTATATTTGCATGGAGAGTTTGCCTTGATGTAGAGATGGACTCTCAGGATAGCGTGGGATATCCCCTCCATTTTGGCCTCAACTTGAGAGCTTTTTCTGAGCTTGGGAGTTGATTTCAGAGAAAACCAGTGGCACCATCGTGTTTCTCGCAAACTTTTACATAAGAATCAACAGTCAAATCGCAAATTCCTCACACATGAGACATCTCCATTTCGAGATTGTTTGACTTGAGTAGAAATGCGTTTTTCCTCAGCACGGCTGCATCGAAGGTCTGTGCTTGAATGAGCCCGGACGCAGCCCATGTAAATGAACAGTCTGAGCGCGGCATCGCCGCGCTGGAAGGAGGGATAGTGAAAGTGAGTTTGCTCCAGAATGAAATGTGGAAGTTCGGTGAATAAGGCATGAGGAGTAGCAACAGCCTAGGAGTAATGATATTCCGCGGGGGAGCGCGGTCGTCCGGGGGGGGGGGGAGGGGGAAAACATGATGCAATGTCCGTCAGATGGACCACCAAGTCACTGACCATCAATCCGGCATTCATCAATCGCTGCAACTGGTGCAGGTTCTCCGCTGTTCGCCCGCTGCACTTGCATTCTTTAGTGTGAGAAAATCCTTCCTGCTTTACCGCACCGCATTACGCTGATAACTTCGCGAGGATTCGCTTCATTTTCGCTCGACCACCGGCGTGATGCATGCACTGCACTCGCGGTCAGTCAGGAATATGCAGTTGATTTGATCTCCAGGACTCAGCTTGAGATGGATTCTTTGCGAGACGTCATAGCGCTAACAGCGATTATATTTGTATGAATCATACTAAGTTCATAAACATGTCATCTTGTTTGCTTGACAAATGGCTTTTTTAACCGATCTCATTAAGGTCTATCTTTCTTAGTTTTTTTATGTCCATAAAATCAGTCGTTTAGAGTCTAGATCCCTTCTCTGCAAGAAGACGGAGATTAGCGTGATTTGATTTGATAGAAGATTAGCCTTTGATTTAGCCTTCGCTAATAAGAAGAATTTTCGGGAATAGAAAAAGTATAGAGTGAGAGGAATATTGACATTATACCATTTATTGGCAAACGGTAAATGCGCTTGAGCCCAAATTGGAACACGTATTTCATACGATCGGAAGGCAAGCTAGCACGTGGTTTTTGTACAAGTTTCCGAGAAATTCCGGGATGATTTGAAATAAAATCACAAAAAATTTCGACGCGATATTTATTTCCGTTCGTTCTGTTTTCTTTTAATTAAACTAAAATTAATTTTACGCGAATCAACTTTCAGAATCGCAACATCATTGAACATCGTACGAGTTTCTGAATCGTTGCAATTAAGATACTTAGTTAATAGTTACCCTTTAATTATGGCAAAAACCGGGTAGGGAATGTCAAAAAAAATGACGCGTGGTCCTAGTTTTGCGGCGATTTTAGCGTCGCGCAAGCCAGGGAAGAAAACACAATCGAGTGTAGAGTCATCTTCACAATGTGATGCGCCTTCAATCCAGTTAGCGGCAATGTGCCTATACCCGTGGTCGAGTAGGTATCACAAATAACTCTCGCATTGCGTTTGGTGCAACGCGAGAAGTATTCACGCAGTCTTGTAGGCGCTAATCAGGGGTTACGCCGACCGCACTATTTGGCGCAATGCGTAAAGTATTCTTACAGTTTCGCAGGCGCTTATATAAGTTTAACGCCGGCGTCACAGTGTTTGGCGCGATTATTCGAACTTGCGTTAAGATAATCGTGGCATCAAAAAATGGGGCTTAAAAGGCTCATGTTGTGTTTCGACGCCGTATGAGCCGTCCAACGTTGCCTTGTTTCTCTCAATAAAACATTTCTTTCTGAGAAAAGTTACAAAGGTTTTCTATGTTCGCTTTTTCAGATTGAAAGGACCATTAAACAAATTAAAAATTTAAGCACTTTGGTACACGAGTCTTCAACAGAATTTCATGCAAAACACGATTCGCGCAACGAAAACTACTGAAATCAACTTTTAGCTGAGCTATTAACGTTTTTATTGTCCATTGGTTACGGGAACTGAATTCAAAGTGTGTACAGCTTGAGCTTCACGTCAAGATTAATTTTGCCATATTTTCATAACACTGAGACTGTCATAGTGACGTTTGGCGTGCAATTTACCCCTAGTAAATTATTCTTTCTCCCATGAGCGGAAAGGTTGACTTTATTCATAAAAGACGTTATTTCCGCGGTTCGGAGTTAATGTAGGGTTAGGATTTCCTCGTTGCCTACTGGTGTTCACACCGCGAACCTGCAATTTTAGTATCGAAGGATCGCGAAAATGTTTCAGCTTTTTACATACTCATTTTTATTCAATTTTTTTAAATGAGAAGGAAGCTAACTTTATTGCTTGAAATATGTATAGAATATTCTGCCGAAGGAGAAGAAATTCATGATAATTTTATATATTTCGTTGAGTGTGGCAGGGAGTCTGCTTCTGCAACGTCGCAAAAGGAGATCCGTATCGCATTGTTTATATCTCGTTCACATTGATCTCTAAACTTCCTATTGTGCGAATGGAATTATATATTGTGATAAGGAACTAATATATTTGCTTCACCCATAAAGCACTCATCGGCGTAAGAAAACCAATACCACATTCGTTATTTCTAAGATGAGCCAAAAATAATAGTTCCTCATAGCAGTATGTAGTCCCCCTGCCATCCTCCTATCAGTAAAGAGAAATGAATCCCAAAAGTCAATACATTTTGGCGTGAAGGAAACCCGCCAACCCGATCAAGAGAAAAAGTCCACAGTTACTTCCTGCTAGCAGTCCCGACCAAAATACTTGAGAAGATAATTTTCATAGACATCTATGCCGTAGACTTTGTCCAAGTAGCGTCTCGTCTCATTGAGGTTGATGATTTAGAGGCTCGCGCAAGGAAGCTTTATAATTATACCTTGCGTAACCCTCGAATTAACTCGGTGTCGTTCATTTCGACAGTGACACAGAGATTTGTGCTAGATGACTACGCAGTGTAACGCTCATCTTCGACGATTAATTATGTCACTCGCCGCTAGGGTCGCTGGAATCAAGATCGAAATATGTCAAAATGTTGAAACAAGGAAACACCAGGTATAGAGCTAAACCGCGAAATCGAGGGAGCTACGACAATCTAACCATCAGCTGAGCAATTAAAATCACAAATTTAACTATTTTAACTTTCCAGCTTATTTTTTATGTCACGTTCACGAACCGAAAAATAGAGTCATGGTGCGTTTTTGAGTGCTTCCTTGATATTTATTGGAGTCATTTACCTAAATTTCTCATTTATTTCGGTTTTCGTGTTAAATTTTTTTAGGTTAATTTTTTCATTTTTTCACCATCTAATCCTGATGTGTTTTCTTTGTTTGTTTCAGGTAAGACAATTGTGAGCATGTAATTCGAGAATGGTAAGATAGGCAAAGGTGGATCCAGAAATTTTGGTAACACCGGATTCCTTTCTATTTAATTTAAACCTTTGTTAAATAATCGATTCTTGTCGGAGCACCTGGCCCCTCTAAGAATCGATACATATCTGTAGGTTTAAATGGAGAAAAACAACGTTGCATATTTGCTGGATCTGCCAATGAAGATAGATAAAACCGTGCGTTCAGTAATTAGCTGTACTAGGTAACGGTCGTATCTTGAAAACACGGAGGACAGTCATGTTCCTTGAATATTATTATTGCATACTTTTTAGACACAACAATGGAGATGGCCGATTTTGTAACAAGGCGCTTCATGTCAATACCCCAGAGCCAAAAGGTTACTAACTCAATTTTTTTAGAAAAATCGAGTAAGTGGCGGTTATTTCGAAATATTTATTAATGGCTCTATGTGTGTGAAAAAGGTAGCCCTATCTTACGCCGGATATGAGATACGATATTTCAAAAATTACGATTTTCATGGGAATCAATCGGGCCGACGCGCGGGCGCAGGTTTCCCCTGATATTCTCACCCTCCGGCGAAATGATCACAAGCGCCATGCAATGTTTCAAAGTTTCCGCCTCCATTTTATATTTTTCCGTAGGAATTTTTCAACAAAGCTGTCCGAAATTTTTCATGGAATTTTCTTTTTACTGCCGATAACATTTCAGTAAAATTTTCGAACAGATCCAACCAACAATTTCTCTAAAAAAAAGTAAAATGGCGGCGGAAATTTTGAAACGTCACATGGCGCGTGGTGATACTTTGGTCGGAAGGTGATGATATCTCGAAAATACTAAAATAGAGTCAGGTGCCTTTGGCTCTGGGGTACTGACATTTACTCGGGAAAAATTTAACGGTTCCGAGGACTGCACGTGAATTTGCTCCGTCGGTGGCAACATGTCGGGATGGAAGACGAAGCAGAGAAGATGAGCAATGGCAGTAGCGGACGTTTTTCAGTGCACCCACTTTCTCGTCTTTATCAGTGCCGCCATCAACCTGCCGTCCACCGCCGCGCCTGCCGCCTGCTCCCGCGCCCCTCCACCGCCCGCCTTCGCGGTTCCTCAGAGCTTTAACGGCTTTTAATCCGCCACAAATCGCCACCGAAACGGAAAAGACCCCCGCGGCCTCGAATAATCCCACTAATCTCAACCAGGAATATCACAAGCTAATCCACGGCGAGAGCATGCTGTGGGCTGACTGTTGAAATTGATAGACAAAGCTATAGACAAAGAAGACAAAAGAGGTATGGAGAGATCCTTGGTGGAAGCGGGTGGTTGCAATGGACAAAGAAGGATAGACTAACCTAACGGCAACCCACGAGAGACCCCATAGTTAGTCCATCATTTTACCCCTTAGTCAAAAGAGATATGGAGAGATTCTTGGTGGAAGCGGGTGGTTCCGATGGACAAAGTAGGTAGATAGTAGACTAACTAACGGCAATCCACGAGAGACCCTATAGTTAGTCTCCCTATTCTTTAGTGTACAGGAACCACCCATTTCAACCAATAGGATCGCTCCATACTCCCTATGTCTTCTTTATCTATAGCTTTTTTCTATCAGTTTCAAAAATCGCCCCGCCAAAGTATTTAAGGTAATTTAAGAGTATTACGGATGTGGAAGTTGAATGACATTTTTAAGACAAAGCTACAGACAAATAAGACTATTTGACGCTGATTCGCCCCACCGAGATTTTCTTGTCGCGGTTTCATTCCGCGTCCTCTTTAGATCCCTTGCTTTAGGGTCTCTCTGATACCTTCTTCCCCAAAATTCCTATCTGCACCCATGATTGTCAACTGCTGCGCTTTTCGCCCGTTCGTAATAAATAATTGTTAATTCGCTCATGGTAGACAGGTGAACATTTTAGAAGTCAAATACTGAAAACATGTCAATAATGATTTGCGTCCAATCAAAGTATGAGGTGGCTGAGCCAATGAAGAATAAATGTTTCGGCGCCATTGCTCACCCAATAGAGTTACCCAGATCCTGCAAAATTGGGAGGAGGAGGGGAATTTTGCCTGTCTTTTCATCCAGCCTCGCATCACGTTCATATGGACCGCATCTCGTGTTGGAGGCGGCATCCAGCTCCAGACCGCAGAACAACTTTCGATCTCACACTCGGATGTACTTTTTCCGCACAGCGCACTGCGCGGCGCGGCACGACGTGGCTAATTTCCGCGAGGGAACTCGAAATTTCGCGAGTGCCTCGGATTTCTCACGACGTTACCCGACTCGTCCGGAATTTTCGCCGGAACTTTTCGGTCCAAACGGGAGATCACAACGAAATCCATAGTCGCTGGCGCTTGTATGGTGAGGCCTCGGCCGCACACTGAATTGAGTAAATCAGCGAAGTCAGACATGAAATTTTCTACCATAACTGCAAATTTTTATGTTTACTTCGTCACACTTCATGATTTAAGGGGTGCTAACAATGAAAATTTCACGAGGAAACCAATGGAACTACTTTTAAAACTTCAAAATTTTAAATGAACAGAGTTGTGAGCTTATAAAGTTTCCAAATTTTTCCCGACCTCCCACACTGACTGGAAACATAATGCGCCGCGCCGCCGTTTGACGCTTTTATGCGATAGTGGCCGTGGTTTTGTAGAATTTAATCCGCTCGTCAGTAAACAAGGGGTCTCTTGCAAACTTTTTCAAGAGTGAAAAATATTTTCCCAAGGAAAGTAGCTTTTAAATCATTGTTAACCGCATTTCAAAAGTTACAAATTCACTCATAACCTTACTATCTATGTAAAACTATATTTGAGCCTTCCATTTAAAAATGTATTCAACGGTATTGTCATAAAATAACACAGATGAGTCAGGCCCGGTTTCACTAGAGTACATTTATAGACAGACTCTAACGAGTTTGTTTTAGTAGTTTTTTGTTAACAGAAAAAGTGAACTTTTCAGTTCCAACTGCTCTTTTGGGGCCGCACTCAAAGTTTTACCGTAGCAGAATACTCCTTTTTTGAGAAAGAACCTTGAGGGATATTCGTAAATAACATCAGACACTTACAGGGAGAGGGAAACTCTGGAGTTAAATAAGATGTACCTGTGGATGGTAGAAATAGGCAAGGGCAAGAAGAGGGTCTGGAGTCATGAGTCATGCCGAACCTGACGCCATACGCCAGGCTAAAATTGGCGCAAAGTGAGAGATTAAAATGACGTGGGGTTAACCCAACCCCATGGTAAAAAATTTTGCGGTAATTTCCACACCTCGAGAATTGTGGCAGCTTGAGCTGAGATTTGCGATTCCGACTGACGAAATTCGGCAGAACTGCCGAATCTCCGGTAAAATATGCCAAACATTTGGTTCATTCTGCCGAATTTCTGCGGCTGGAATCGCAATCTCGGCTCCAGATGCCAAAAATCTCGGGATGCAGATATACTGCCGCAAATTTTTTTATCGTGCAATGTAATTTTCAAACGAGGAGAAGCAGGGTCAAAACTGCCCAACATGTATCTGACATGGGAGGGAGAGGGCCAATATTCGAAAAAAAGCCAAAAGTCATTATCATGGAATCACCTTAAAGGTCATTTGACTTGATCAGATAGAAATTATGTAGTTGCATCTTTCGAAAAAATCCGTCATGCCGATTCTGATGACAGTCTGTGCAATGTGCATGATCGCGTTTTCACTGGATGTCGACCCCTACTTCGTGATTCATTCTGAGAATTGAGTTGATTAGAAACGCGAGGTCCTATAAACATCACAGGTTTCCGAGACAAAAATTAATATAGTGTTGCCGGAGCAGATTCACTTTTTATAGTGATGCGATCAGAGAGCTAAAAACTATCAAACGCGGTCTAAAAAAAATCGAAAAGCCAGTGATCAATGCGCGATGATTACGCACGGCGGGTTTTTTCTTGAGTAGAAATATTGGCGTGCATAGCTCGCCCTCCCAGGATTAGAAAAAGCTGCTTGACAGTCGATTCAAGATAAGCCCCATTCCGGGAACAATAAGCCCTTGAGCTTCTAGAGTCCTCAATGAAGATCGAAGATTTCATTTTGATCAGTATGCTTGAAGTGAAAACTGGAACGTTACCCACTGTCAGTTGCTACAAGCCTTTCAAAATGAAATCCCGCCATCAGTGGCACCGCTATAAGCTTCTTTCATACAACTGGAAGGTAAGTTTTACCTTGAACGGAGACTTTGGCTGATAAATCCAATTTATAGGAAACGGAGAGTATCCAACAAGATCGCCCCTCTGTTAAATGGAAAAATTCGCGACTAAATTTCGCATCCATCATTTTTTATTAATCTATCTCTCATAAGAACTAGTCTCGTCGAGGAGGTTTCGTGACTGTAATTTGACCTTTGACTTCAAATAAAATGAGATTACGTCATAGAAGCCGTCGCCAATAACCATTTGTACATGTACAGTCATCCAACCGAGGTGCAAAGAGGCTTCCACACTTGGAGAAACATGATATTTTAAAACTTTCATATGTTGGATTTTAAATGTTTCATCGATGAAAAAGTTCACCGGTAGTAAATGATCCTCGAATACATGTAATTGCGGACTTATCACTTGTCGTCTGTGAATATTCTTTTCTGCGTGCCTGATGGAAAGCACTGCGTTTCGAAGCGTACAGCCTCGTCAAACTTTCAGCGGTAAGTGTGAAGGACCCTCAACGGATCACGGTGACAAACGAGGCAACGGAGGAGTGACAACCTGATTTTGTCGATGAAAAAATGCCTCTGTTAATAGAGCGGGAATATCGTTCTCTCCAATGCTTTTAAGCATTAATGAAATGGTATAAAAACTATCACGCACAAAAATCATAGTCCGTAATTTCTTACAAAAATGGTAAAACTACGAAAGGGGACCCCAGTTTGTGACTTTCAGTCGTACACTCAGTCGTGAGCATGATATACCCTAGAAGATGTGGACTTCAATTTCCACTTGGGATTATATTTCTGGTAAGGTATTGTGTACTATTATTTAGTTAGTCACTATTCGAGTTTT